ATATGAAAGCCATTCGAGCCAGGAGCCATCCATTTGCGCACTGCAAAATGCCATCTGATGGCATGGATGGCTGCTGCGCAAACTCTCTATTACTGATAGAAATAAAATGCAGGAGCCGCCCGTTTGACTCGGGCCCGGGCCATGACTCCTCTATCACGATTGTTTTCATTTTTCTAGTAGATGAAGGCTCAGTGGTGGACGGTCCACACCTGAAAAATATACGGTAGCTCAGATCAAGGGGGCGCAACAATAAAATTTCAGGGGACATAGCCACCTTATTCCAGAATCACCGAAAATGGGACCGCACCCACCCACCCTACATTTTTTTTTCTGCACGCTCCACCCTCCCCCATTTCAGCTTACATAAGAATTGTGTTTTTTATTCAATTTTCTTTTTACACATCTCCTCTTTCACCCGTTCGTCTGTTGCCGAACCACATCACCATCCAACGGTTCAGACCACACTGCCAGTTTTGTAGGATTGAAGATTATCAATCCCCTATTCTGGATTGATTTCGGTGCATCCTTGCTCTATACATCAGAGTCTTTGGATGAAAATGAGTTTATGCAGTACAGAAAGGAAGAATAGCTGACTTGGTTTCAGAATACTGTTGACATCATATGTTTGGGTCAAACTTGCATGAGCAGAGATAGGAAAGGCTGGTGTTGATACTGCACAATCGAAGTCGGAAATAATATTAATATAAGACATCGAGGCAGAATTTTGGAATGAGCTAAAGGAGCGGCAAATGGAGCCTTTTAAACAAACCTCAGTGGTACGACCGAATTTGGCTCATCATTGTCCATCGGAAACTCCCCAAAAAGGACATGCTAGTTTCCGCTTGAGGTGGCCACATTTATCATAGACCACAAACTTTTTTGTCATGTGAAAGAAGTTTCAGAAGCGGCATTTTGGGCCACCCAGGGGTAGCCTTGCCCTGCGGGAATTAAATTCTCGTGCCCCCTTGGCTCAGATTGTAAGAAATACTTAGGCAGGAGCTGCTCGTTCGACTTGGGCCCGAGCCATGGTTGTATTTCCAGTGTTTTTTTCTGTGTGAGGCAGGATTTCGCGCTAATTAATTCAAGGAGAGAATGGAGGCAGAGAACCGCTCGGTGGTGGATGGTCCACGCTTGCAAAGCATCGTCTGCTCCCCGTGATGAGAATATGCAGGAGCCGCCCATTCGACTCAGGCCCGAGCCATTAGATTGGATCCTAGGTACTTTTTATGCAATGGTGCTCTCGCCTTCTCTCAAATAAATTCAGGAAGATAACAGATAGAGAACGGCTCGGTGGTGGACTTTCCACGCCTGCACACTATGAGTCTGCAAAAAGTCGGAATGAACAACAGCGGGAGCAGTCCGTTCGACTCGGGCCCGAGCCATGGTCGCTTGGAGTCAATAAACCGTTTTGATGCAGAGCCGTGATTTAGAGCTGAATAATTCAGGAGTGGATGGGGAGTAGAAGAAGGTAGGGAAAAGCTCGGTGGTGGACGGTCCACACCTGCAAAAAAATAGCCTTTGCTTCAGGGATTATGCAGGCACTGCCCGTTCGACTCGGGCCTGAGCCATGCCGCGGTCGCAGACTTTTTCGGCGGGGCACCCTATTTTATTCTGATTTTTTTCTTGTGCCCCTGCCTTTTGCGTTGGGAGAAGATGAGGGGTGGGGGGGTAGATAATGGCTCGGTGGTGGACGGTCCACACCTGTAATGCATGAGCATTGCACAAACTATCTCATGCAGGCACCGCCCGTTCGACTCGGACCCGAGCCATGCGATGATCGCAAAGTTGGTTTTCTTGCGCCCCTGCCTTTCGCGTTCGGAGAAGAGCAGGAGTAGAGAGGGTAGGGAACGGCTCGGTGGTGGACGTTCCACACCTATAATGCATGAGCATTGCACAAACTATCTCATGCAGGCACCGCCCGTTCGACTCGGACCCGAGCCATGGTGAAGTTGCGAAATCGTTTTATGAAGTGCACCCAGGCATTCGCTCTAACTCAGCCGAGGGAAGAGTAGGAATGGAATGGCTCGGTAGTGGAGTGCACACTTGCAATGCATCGTCTGCTCCCCGTGATGGGATTTTGCAAGAGGATCCCGTTCGACTCGGGCCCGAGCCATAGCATGTCAGGAGACATTTTTTTCTTGCGCCCCTGCCTCTTGCGTTCGGAGAAGATGAGGGGTGGGGAGGACAGAGAGCGGCTAGGTGATGGGAAGTCTACGCCTGAAAAACATGGGGTAACTAGAAGCAATGTGCAGAAGCCGTCCCCGAGCCATGGGCCCGGGTGAAGTCTCTGTTTATGTGAAGCACCCTACTTTCGTCTGCGTAATACATGGATGGGGGAGGGAATGAAACAGCTCGGTAGTGGACGGTCCACGCCTACAAGATACAACACCTGCAACAAATGAGCGCTCCACAGCAACATATCATGCAGGAGCAGCCTGTTCGACTTGGGCCCGAGCCATGTTGCTGTGGCAAAATTCTTTTCTGCAGTGATAAGGCATGGATTCATACATGCCTGAAATCTTCACTTTTGCATGGTGTTAGTGGGTAGCTGATATTAATAAACCAGTAAGACAACGAGGGTTCTAGTCTGCCTGAGGCTGAGGACTAAGCTGTTAGAAGGACTGAAAACACGCATTGAACCAAGGAGACTAGGAATACTATCAACGATACCTGCACAAATGGGGTCAGACATAGTAACCTGGGTTTCAAAACCACTAGCGAGCCATAGGACTACTCCGGCAGACTGTATTACCCAGTGCAGCACGTTCAAGTTTAATATGGGTGCCAAGGCTATCAAGGGACTAATGAAGGGACAGAACAAGCTATTACAGTCGCTAAATGGGTTCCGGAACAATCTGCATTCCCAGTTCAGGCCATAGGTTCTGTCCACAGGAATTTTTGTCATTAATCTAGAAGGTGGCTTATATATTCCTACCATATATCACGCCAGCATTATTGTCCGTTGTCACATGAAAAATCAATATATCCAAAAGGCCATTCAAAGCAGCTTGTTCACATCATAGCCAAATGTTGCAGCGATTATTTGCCACTGGTGCCTTGAATCGACTGTGTGGACGTCCTGGGATTCTTGGAAGCACCACTCTGGGGGGCCGTCGGTGGGTTTTTGTTGAAAGAAAGATTGGTTGAACCCCGAAAAGGGTGTTGTTCCGGAACTGGTAATTCTGTCGAAATTCACTAATTGCCGAAACTGCTGTTTTACCAATGGTCAAGTGACCTCAAAAATTCGGACGCAGATGTCACTTATGCTTCGAGGTCTTAGAATCCAAATATGCAAACAGAATCTGCTCATCTCCTTTCCCTAGTTCTCTATTCATAATTTATTTCCACGTGTTCCGGAACCCATTTAGCAACTGTACAAGATTCAATTAAAGGATTGGTTCAAAGGGACACTACACCGTAACTAAAGGATCGACAAGGAGGCAGACAGTTAAACAATCACGTGATCACAAAGAGACGTGTTTGATCCTGGCGCGCTCACTGATGCTGACTGAACTAATGTTCCAGATGACCATGTAGGCTGACTATACTAGTCCGTCTATCAGTTATAGATGTTCCATATGTTCCGCCAACAGTCGGATAACCAGGATTCAAGGGAGAATGACTGTACCATCATTAGTTGGTTGGAGCCTACATCTGATTCCTGACTCACCACAACAGTTTGTATCACTCTGCAGTATTGATTAGTGGTCAATGGACTCATATTTTGTTTGTAATGTACTAGTATAAAGAGAGCATGTATTTTAGTAGGTAGTCAGTTAATTCTCACCCGCTTATTGGCACCAGCTCTCAGTAGCTCTAAAGTGTTCACCATACCGACTAGTGTTGGTTATACCACTCTAGGCTCGCTCCTTGACCCTCCTCCTAACTTGCACATTCAGCGCACCCCTGAGAAAGGCCCTGAGCAACCGGAGAAGATCATTTCGGCTACGTACCGTTTGATATCCTTACTTGGTTTAATTACCTGTAAGAGGCCTTCCGTGCATGACTTTGTCTTACTGCTATAAACCCAATAAAGGAACTTTGGTGTGTTGTCCCACTTTGAAATTGAAGGTTGATACATGGCCCACCTCCCCAAACACAAATATGTTAGAGTAGAGGAGTTGTTGGTTGTGGGGTTTGGTGTTGCTCAAGTCAAGACTTATAGTCTTGACTTTCTCAACATTGGATTTCATAGCTGCACACCACTGCACTGTTTCAGCAGGGCTCCCCTACTTTATTCTGCTTAATTCAGTGATAGGTAGAGTAGAGAACAGCCCGGTGTTGGACGGTCCATGCCTGCACAGCATAAGTTCTACAAACACTTTCATGCAGGAGTCACCCGTTCGACTCGGGCTCGAGCCATGGCATGGCCGCAGACTTTTTTTTTAATGCGGAGCATCTACTTTCTCTCCAAGTATGCTAAGGATGGAGGAGATCAAGGAAAGGCTCCATGGTGGGTGGTCCACGCTTGCAAAGCATCATTCCTCTGTGTCAATATCATGCAGATATCGCTTGTTCGACTTGGGCCCGAGCCATTGGATTTTATACCTAGATATGTTTTATATAATGGTGCACTCACTTTCGTTCGAATAAATTCGGGAGAAGATAGGGTAAATAACAGCTCGGTGGTGGACGGTCCACGCCTGAAATGAGTATCACACTCTCTGAATGGATCTTATGGAGGAGCCACCCCTTCGAATCGGGCCCGAGCCATACATAGCAAGAAACTCTGCGACTGTTTTTCTTTTTTTTGTGCGAGGCCAGGCTTTCGGGCTAATTGGAGCAGGAATGAATTAAGAGTAAGTTAGAAGAGAGTAGAGAACAGCTCGGTGGTGGACAGTTCACGCCTGCAATGCATCGTCCGTCTCCTAACATAATATATATCATGCAGGAGCAGCCCGTTCGATTCGGGCCCGAGCCATAGAGCCTCGATGACGAACTTTTTCTGTGCAGCACCCTATGATTCTTGTGATCAATTGAGATGGAGGACGGCAGAGAACGGCTCGGTAGTGGACGGTCCATGCCTGCAACTTGAATGCGCCATTTCTCTGTGCAAACATCGTGCAGGTATCGCCTGTTCGACTCGGGCCCGAGCCATAGCGCGGCCGCAGGATCCTTTTTATGCAATGCGCACTTACTTTCGTTCGAATTAATCAAGGTGCAGATAGGTAGATTAAGTCTCGGTGGTGGACGGTCCACGCATACACAGCATTTAGTTCTACAAACTCTTCTCATGCAGGAGCCGCCCGTTTGACTCGGGCCCGAGCCATAGGAAATTCAGGAGCAAATATTTTGCCTGCGACACTGCCGTTTTCATTCCGAGAAAATCAGGTGCAGATAAGATGGATTAAGGCTCGGTGGTGGACGTTCCACGTCTGCAACAAATGATATTTCCCCCATACAATTGTGCAGGAGCGGGCCGTTCGACTCGGGCCTGAGCCATTAGTTGGTCGCAGCTTTTTATGCAATGGTGCCCTCGCCTTCTTTGGAATGAATTCAGGAGGATATAAGGTAGGAAAGGCTCGGTGGTGGACGGTCCACGCCTACAAAATGTTATCAGCGATAGAAATAACATGCAGGAGGTGTCCGTTCGATTCGGGCCCGAGTCATATTGCAGCGACAAAAGTTTTGTCTGCGGGCACCCTTTCTTTCGTCAGAATAAAATCAGGGGTAGGGAGGGTAGAGAAAAGCTCGGTGGTGGGTGGTCCACGCCCGCAATGCATAGTGATTTCGCAGTATAAGATCATGCAGGAGCCGCCCGTTCGACTCGGGCCCGAGCCGTACTCGAGTGTAAGATGCTTTTTGTCTGAGGCGTGCTTTCGCGCGGATTAATTCAGGTGCAAATAGAGTGTATTAAGGCTCGATGGTAGACGGTCCACACCTGACAAATATACGGTACATGTAAGAAATACTTAGGCAGGAGCAGCCCGTTCGACTCAGGCCTGAGCCATGTCAGGGCGAGATCTTTTTTGTACGAGGTTCCCCTGATTTTTGTCCGGATTACTTCAGGAAGAGAGCAGGTAGAGAACGGCTCTGTTGTGGATGATCCACGCCTGCGAAATATACGGTACTTAGTTCATATTACTTGGGCAGGAGCAGCTCGTTCGACTCGGGCCCGAGTCATTGCATTTCGGGCGACATTTTTTTCTTGTGCCCCTGCCTTTCGCATTCGGAGAAGAGCAGGAGTAAGGAGGTTAGAGAACGGCTCGGTAGTGGGAGGTTGACCTGCAGCAAATAATCGTTCCTCTACGCAATTATGCAGGAGTCGCCCGTTCGACTCGGGCCCGAGCCATGCCGCGCCGATCGCAAAAATATTTCTTTACGGGGCACCTTCACTTTCATCGGAATTCATTCAGGTGCAAATAGAGTGTATTAATGCTGGGTGGTGGATGGTCCACGCCTGCAAATCCTGAGTCTGGTGAAACGAAGAATATGCAGAAGCAGCCCGTTCGACTCGAGCCCGAGCCTTTGACAGCCGGGCGATCTTTTAGATGCGCAGCATCTGCTTTTGTTCGACTCAATTCAGGTGCAAATAGAGTGTATTAAGGCTCGGTGGTGGACAGTCCACACCTGCAGAATATACTGTTGAAGTGTGAAGTATGCAGGAGCAGCCCGTTCGACTCGGGCCCGAGCCCTGACATGGAACCGGAGCTGTTTTTGTGTGCGGTGCTCCTGTTTTGGATTGATTGCACAGTTACTGAGGAGTAGAAGAGGGCATGGAAAGGCTCGGTAGTGGACGCTCCACAGCTGCAATGCATCATTTTTCTGTGTAAACATCGTGCAGGTATCGCCCGTTCAACTCAGCCCCGAGCCGTGGGCCGGTCGCAGATGCTTTTTCGGTGAGGGCCCTCGCCTTCGTTCGAATTAAGCCAGGTGCAGGTAGGGTGTAGTAAGGCTCGATTACAGTATATAACATGTTCGCACCGCATACTACTACATTCCGGTGTTCATGAGATTGCAGTGTGTATATATGAACGACTCTCCGTTACACACAGCGCGTCAAAACAACAGCCGACCCCAGTGGAACATGCATCCGTGCGAGCAGCATCGAGTAAAAAAAAAAAAGCTGAACTGATTCCCTGTCCGAAGTGGGAGACGCCCCACATCCACCTTGATTAGCGCGGAAGGCCGACACTCCACTGTGTTGATAATTTCGTAACCCTGTCGTAACGGCACGTACCCCACACTCGAGCTGAGATTAGCAGTAACGTCGCCGTGCTGCACACACACGTAGCAGCTCCTCGAATGCGCACCATTTCATCCGGACGGTGGCAGGTCACGACAACACGGGCGCGGGTGCGCGGCGCTAACATCGCGTAGGGGTGCCGCGCCCTTCGGTCTTGGAGAGAACACAGCACATCCGCCGGTACACGCCCCGACACCCGCCACTGAGCACGGCGTCCTCTCGAGCTCCTCGCGCACCACCACTCCTCCACACCTCCACGAGCTCCGCCGCGCACCCCTGACACGCCGCACGTATGGCGCGTCCCACGCCCACAAAAAGAAAAAAAGTAACAGCAGGAAAACTTGATAGAATAGAAGGACACACATCCGGTTGTTACTGCCGAGCTTCGAAAACGAGCTCCCGAGGCGGGGCACGACGGGCTTGACGGTTTCGGAGGTTTGCGGGGGGACGAGGCTGCGAGAGGAGTTAGTAAGGTGCAAGGGGTAATCGGAGGACACGAGAGTAGAACTGGGAAGACAAGGGGTGTAAAGAGTATAGGGAGCACGTGAATGGGCGGGGGATCTGGGGAACCGGTACGCGCGCGACGAGGATGGGAGCAGGCACGGAGGACACGGCTCTTCACGAGCTTTGACACCAGCTCGGGAAGCGCCGCATCGAGACCGCGCAGTCCCGGCTGCGTCAGTGTACACTTCCATTCTCGTGCGTCCGAACCGCGTGCACCCCCGCCCGCCCCGCGTCCCGACCACAACTCCGCAAGGCGACCACGCAGCCCCCGGTACGTCACCCCCACGCGAGACCCCCGCGCCCGCATCCCCAGGGGCCCTCGCCAACGCTGAGACCGCACACACGCATGCAAACGGCACCCCGCGGCTGCTCCTGCACGCACGCGTCGTCATGTGCATGACATCCGCTGCCGCGAACCAGCTACGCGTCCGCGCGTCCGTACCCCACGCACCGAAACCCCGACCGCGCATCCCCGCCTACACTCGCGACCAGCGGGGCGAAGCGTGTCCAGACTCGTAGCCCAGACGCCCGCGGGCTCAGAAGGAACGAATAGCAGGCAGGAAGAAATGACGAACATGTGATTCCTACCCCGAGCTTCACAAACTTGCTCTCGAGGCGGGGCTCAACGGCCGCGGGGGGTTTCGGTGGGACGAGCCTAGGAGAGGAGGAGTTAGTCAGATGCGTCCGAGAATCCAAAAAGGGAATAAAGTAGGGTGCATGGGTGTGGAGCCGGGTGCAAGGATTGCGGGGAACGATGGAGCGGGCGCGAGGAAGGCGTGGAGCGGAGGGCGCTGAGGGATGGATGGAATGAAGGTGACGAGGAGGGAGGGACGGAGTCGTGCATGGACGGAAGGCAGCGAGGAACGAGCAGTGGAGGCGCGATACAAGGATCGAATGGGGTGTGCGTGCAGTGAATGTACGCGGGAAGTGGATGGAAGGCGGAGACGAGAATACATGCGCGCCTCTCCGAAACGACAGGTGGTGCAGAAGGGGAGGAAGGGGGCGAGTAGAGCGGGTAGATCATGCGAAGATGCGGGGAAGGAGGTAGGAGGGCGGAGGATGGAGTGCACGCAGGTGATGATGCCAACGATATGATATTATAATGCAGGACGATAGCGCGGGGTTGTAGTTGGGAGAACGGGGGGAAGGGGGCGGGGGCGATGTGGACGATGGTAAGAGGACGATGGATAGGAGATAGAACGCAGCCGGAAATTCCGTTTTCCTACAACGACACCATCCACTTGCAGCCCCTCGAGCTGGTAGTCCTTCAGCCGCGCGCCCGTCGCCAGCGCCGGCTGCGGGAATGCACCCTCTGCGTCCTCGTCGGGCCCTCGTCCCTCTCCTTGCATATCGTCGTCCTCTGCGGCGGCGGCAGGCCCGACCACATGCGCGACGGCGTGCTTGGCGCGGACGCGGAGAACGGCGTGTTCGACGCGGAGAACGGTACGACGCGGGGCAGTGCATGGTGGCAAGAGGCAAGGAAATTTTGTTTTGATTGGTAAATGACAATGGTAATTGACGCGCTGTGTTCGGCGTGGTGTGACTGTGACTTTTTTGATCGGCGTTTCGCTGTCAGCCATCAGCGAGCTAAATAAATGGCGAATGGACGGATACGTAGCCACGTCTAACGGCTCGGTAGCACAGTGCAGTGCATCCGCAAGGTATAAATGGTACCTGCAATAGCTACGGAAGACGCCCGTTCGACTCGGGCCCGGGCCATTAGCATTTCGGGAGCGAATATTTTGCCTGCCTCCCTGCTGTTTGCGTTCCAAGAAAATCAGGTATAGGGAGGGTAGGAAAGGGCTTGGTGGTGGATGGTCCACGCCTGCAAGGTGTAATAATATGGATGACGGTTTGAAATATGCAAGAGCCGCCCGTTCGACTCGGGCCTGAGCCTAGGTATGGCGATGTTTTTCTGTGAAGCACCCTAATTGATTGTGATTAATCCAGGGAAAAAGAGGGGTGGATGAAGGCTCGGTGGTGGACGGTCCACGCCTGCAAAGCATCACTTTCTTCAAGATATGTTCATGCAGGAGCAGTCCGTTCGACTCGGGCCCGAGCCATTGCATTTCAGGCGACATTTTTTCTTGCGCCCCTGTCTTTCGTGTTCGGAGGAGAACAGGAGCAGGGATGGTAGCGAACGGCTCCGTAGTGGACGGTCCACACCTGCAAGATATCAAGTTGAAGTGTTTGCAATATGCAGGAGCAGCTCGTTCGATTCGGGCCCGAACCATGACGGAATGTGTTGCAACTTTTTATGTCAACGGTGCCCTCGCTTCTTTCGAATTGATTCAGGGACGGAGGAAGGTAGGAAGAGGGTCGGTGGTGGACGGTCCACGCTTGCCACGCATGCTGATTTCGCGGTGTAACATCATGCAGGTGCAGCCCGTTCGACTCGGGCCCGGCC